AATTTCCCGTTTGTAATCTAAAATGACTGAAAATTGCAAATTTCGCAAGGCTATATTTTCCGCATTTTACAACATTTCGCAACGAAACTTTGGAATATTACTAATTTTGTGATGCTCCTTCAAGCTGTGATAAAAATTTTGTCTAGACTTGTTTAGTTCAAAATTTAGTCTATTACGCAAATGGTCAATTGGGGTTTTTTGTCACCTGATGCTTTCATACTCTTAGTATAAAAGCCCGTGCATTTTCCCCGATCCCTGCTACTAACTCTTGACGAAGGGCCTTCGCTCGAAACGTCGAGTTTCTGCTTATTTTTTAAGGTAGTAATATAACGACTCAGCACAGCAAAACGGATAACAGCCTAATTCACAAAGAGGGCGGGACATCAAGGCAAATTCACGACAATAATGCGGAGAATGCACTGTACTTGACATTGCAGAGGTTTGATGATTTCTCCTTGTGTCTATCAAACGAAGAATTACAGAGTATCGTGACCAAGGACTTGGCAACTTCGGAGATTGAGCAGTCGTTGCTGAATGCACGTAGTTTGCGTCAGTCCCAACTCGAAGAACAACCGGAACAAGAGCCCAAAACTACGTTCCATGATTCTCTTTCCAAGAGCAAGCCCCCTTACATTTGCCAGCCTCTACGAAGTAATGAAAGAACAGTGCCATATCCCATCAAAGTTCCCCTTGAACAGGAGCTTGAACGACTCGAGCGGGAAGAGATAATATCACCTGTACAATTCTCAGAGTGGGCAGCCCCTATAGTGCCAGTTGTGAAATCAGATGGTTCAGTTCGTGTGTGCGGTGATTATGAATGCATCATTGATCAAGCATCAAAACTTGATAACTACCCTATTCCCAAGACCGAAAACCTCCTTACAATCGTTGGAGGCAGTCAAAAGTTTACAAAATTGGACATGTCTCAAGCTTATCAACAATTGCTTTTGGATGATGAGTCCAAACCGTACACCACCATCAACACACACAAGGAACTGTACCAATATAATCTGTTGCCTTTCGGGGTTTCATCAGCACCGGGCATATTTCAACGAACTATGCAGAACTTGCTTAACGGTATGCCCTGTGTTATCGTGCGAATTGATGACGCTGACCACTTGTCCAACATGGAGGCTGCGTTGACCAGGCTTTTGGCCGCAGGCCTTCGACTGAAGAAGAGCAAGTGTGAGTTTCTGGTTGGTAAGGTAATTTACTGTAGATATTAGCATTAGTGGAACGGGGATTCAACCAGTAGTCGATAAAGTTAGAGCTATTCAGGAAGCCCCCGAACCACAGAATCAAAGCCAATAGACCTTTCCCCTTATGAGTGACATTTTGATCTAGATATGCCTGGACAAAATTTCATCACAGCTTGAAAGAGCATCACAAAATTAGTAATATTCCGAAGTTTCGTTGCGAAATGTTGTAAAATGCGGATAATATAGCCTTGCGAAGTTTGCCGTTTTTCAGTCATTTTGCATTACAAACGGGAAATTGATAATCAGATGATCAATTTCCCATTTGTAATACAAAATGACTGAAAAACGGCAAACTTCGCAAGGCTATATTATCCGCATTTTACAACATTTCGCAACGAAACGTCGGAATATTACTAATTTTGTGATGCTCTTTCAAGCTGTGATGAAATTTTTTCCAGACTTATCTAGATCAAAATTTCACTCAAAAGGGGAAAGGTCTATTGCGTGCTTTCTTGGGCATGTTGAACTATTATCATTGGTTTCTACTCAACATTGTCACAACCCTGGAGCCATTACATAAGTTACTACGACAGGGGACTATATGGCAATGGGAGCAAGAACAACAACAAACTTTCAAATCTGCAAAGGAACTGTTACAATCAGCAGATCTTCTCATCCATTTTGATCCTTCAAAACCACTTATTCTAGCTACCAACGCGTCAGATTATGAAGTAGGGGCAATTTTGTCCCACTAGCTACCAGATGGAAGTGTAAGCCGATTCGCTATGCTTCAATATCATTAAATTCAGCTGAACGTAATTATTCGACCGTTGAAAAAGTAACTTTGGCTGTAATCTTTGGAGTCAAGAAATTTCATCAGTTCTTATACGGACATGCATTTACCATTAACACTGACCATAAGCCTTTGGAGGGCCTCTTGAGTGCCACTAAAGCAGTTCCTCCTTTGAGTACAACATCCACTACAAAGCTGGGAGGCAGAATGAAAATGCTGATGCATTGAGCAGGTTACCATTGCCTGAAATGCCCTCGAATGTACTTCAACCACGAGTAGTTATTCCACCTCCTGTCAGATCAAAGATATTGGCAGACCTTCATGAAGCTCACCCCGGGGTGTCGCGTATAAAAGTCCTGGCTCGAAGCTACGTGTGGTGGCCTAGCCTTGAAGCGAACATTGAGCAACAGGCAGGGGCGTCGTGGGTCCCATGTTGTTTTTTTTTTGGGGGGGGGCAAGGGCAGTATTTTTCCGACAAACTCAATTGGAAAAAAATTTTCCGGACAAGGACATTTTAATTTATCTCCCCCCCCCCCGTCGACAACTTTTTTGGTAAAAACTTTTTCCGGACAAGAACGTTACAATTGCTTTCGTAGCACTTTTTCCGAACTAGCAGTCGGTGGGCCTGCGTATATGCAGGTATGCTTGACCACGAAGATTCCAACAACATTACCAATTTTCCGACGGGTCTCAACAAGGGGGGGGGGGGGCATGGACCCCCTGCCACGGCGCCATTGGCAACAGGTCAAAGGATGTGACCAGTGTCAGCTCCACCAGTCCGCTCCAGCAGCTGCACCCCTACACCATTGGGAATGGTCTGGCCACCCCTGGAGCAGACTGCATATTGATTATGCAGGTCGCTATCATGGTGAAATGTTTACGATGGTCATACAGTAGATGCCTTCTCTAAATGGCTAGAGGTTCATTTAATGAAAAAATGTCACACATCGACTGCCACCATTGAGAAATTAAGAGAGATCTTCGCAACCCATGGCTTGCCAGCAACTGTCGTAAATGATAATGGTACCAATTTCACAAGCAATGAATTCCAGGAATTCATGAAACGTAACGGAATCAAACACATCAGAGTGTCACCTTACCATCCGGCATCCAACGAGGGAACGATGAAAGAGGCAACTATCAGAATGAGATTGTCAAGATTCCTTTTCAATTAGCGCATAATACCACACACAACAACTGGAGTGGCACCTGCAGAGCTGTTGATGAAAAGACGACTTCGAACACACCTGGATCTGGTATAACCGAGAGTGGAGGAGCATGTAAGTGATAAGCAATTTCGGCAAAAACTGGCACATGATCAGCATGCCAAAGAAAGAGCATTTAAAGCTGGGGATCAGGTATTTGTAAGAGATTTTCGGAAACCTAAGGCATGGCTGTCTGGACTATCGTTAAAAAAACTGGACCTGTGTCAGCTGAGATACGGTTAGAAGATGGACAAACCACCCGACGACATTTCGACCATATTCGAATACGCACAACCGCAACTGAGGAACGTAGAGCAGAGGTCGTGAATGATATCTTACCACCAAGTGGGGATATACCACTCCCTGAACAACCTGAAGTGGTCCATCCAGCTGAGGACAGACCCCGTGCTAGACGACAACCAGTCAGGGAGCGCCGTATTCCGCAACACTTGTATGACTATGAACTAAGGAACTAGTCAAAATGGCACTTTGAAACATTACTAACATACTGTTACATACTCTTATTAGTTTACATTCTGTTATTGTTACGAACATGTTTAGAACTTATTGGGGAGGAATGTAGTAATTTGTCCCCCCTGGATTAGCCTGCGAACAGCCATCCGAACGTTGTTCTTGTTGTTAGCCAGCGACTCGGGAATTTATTACAGACAATACCTTATTATCTATCTATTGATCTATCTATTTATATACCTGGTCACTATATCTATCACTGACTCATTTGAAATTTTTCCACTCATCTGCATAATATTCCATTAAAAAGGACTATCACCAGCGCTAAAATTTTATTTGGATTAATTTCCATATTATTTAACAAATAACCAAACCTCATTTTCTCTTCAGGAAACTGCATGTTTACTAATCAATCTTTTAGTTTCACAGTTTCATTAAAAGACTATTTTAAACTAAAGTTGTAAGAAATCTTCCCTTCCTGTTTTACTGAGTTAAGCAATCTTACTGGCAATTAATTTTACCTGTTCGCGATTCTCACACAACTCCATTCCAATTCCTCCGCCACCATTTGGTGACTTGAGTACAACAGGGTAACCAATGACGTCCCCCAACGACAAAGCTTCCTGCGTGTTTGTAATCACATCAGACGAGGGTGCTGTTGGGAGATGGACATTCTTTGCCACTTGCCTCGCCGCGATCTTGCACCCAAGAAGAAGCATATTTTCTGCAGTAGGTCCAACAAATTGAATACCCGCTTCTCTACATTTCTGCGGAAAGGCCGGATTTTCAGCTTGAAAGCCGTACCCAGGATGAATGGCATCGCAATAGGTCTGCTTCGCCAGACGGATGATCTCTTCGATGTCCGTATACGAAGCCAAAGGGTGCTTTTCTTTTGACTGTGTAACGTGAAGAGATTGATAATCATCTTCAGTGTAGACTGTTACGTAGTCAATACCCATCTTTTTGCAGGTTTTTATTATTCTACACGCACACACTCCTCGGTTTGCTACCAGAATCTTTTTCACGCTAACCATTCTTCCACTCATCAATGGATAAAAGCTGAATACAGAAAACATGTAATTATATGGATGCTGATAGATTTTTGAGTTGAAAGATTTAAGGTATTAATAAAAAGTCGCACTCAGTGGAAAAAATTTTGAAAATCCATAGAAGGTCATAGAATGGAAATTTTATGGACCTTTATTGGAAATAGAATGGATTTTGGTTATCTATAATAATTGTATATTTCCATAGTATGAATATAGTATGGAAATAGTATGGATACACTATGGATTTAGTGGTGCAATTGCAAATTTCGTAGTATGGATTTCACTTTTTTTCCCAGTGACTTGTATTTGGTGAAATATTTCTAATTGCTTAGTTTTTTTAAAATAACTCGATTTTCTTGCGTTCTGGGCAATGTTTGATATGCAGAAATACAAGAACTAGCTATGCCTATATAGTATAGTATAGGTTAATTTGTTCAAAAACGTAACAACAATCTTGCAAGGCAAAGACTCGGCCCTGGTGGAGTTGCAAACGAATTTAGGTAAAAGCCAGTTGTACAAGTTCAGAGTCCATCGAAGTTACGCGAGCAAATTCCGAAGGCAACTGCAGATGAAGATATCACTGGCACTCTGGATGGCGTTGAATCTGATCACTTATTGTAAGTTCTTTGCGTAGCAATAGGGTAGAATGATTTCTTAAAGCTTACGGGGGTTTTACTTGAGTAGCCTGAGGGATTTGAACTTCGTCTTTGACGAAGATAGAGAATAGATGAACAGACGTATAGATTTCTTTAATTCGATGTATCGATAGTGTTCAAATATAGCAATAATCAATCACCAATCAAACGAGTTCGAACTATAAGGAAAAATAGTGACTAAATAAATACCATGCAATAGTTATACTAATATACTAAATCAACTTGACTACGCTAAATTGCTGTCTAAATATGCGCATGCTTTCTAAAACTAATTAAGCAAACAAAACAAATATATAAATCCTACTTTGGTGTCCTCTTGTTCCTCAAGTAGCGTCCAGTAATCGTTTCTTGTTTTCTTCGTTAGCGTGAATAATTAGCTTTCTCACGCCACCATTTTTGGGTTGGGGTATTTCTGCGAGATAAGGCCACATAACAGCGACTTTTTATAATTTTTTGGACAAATTATGGTAAGTTTGTTTTGTAAATGTAAAATGGCTAGTTTATTTTGAAAAATTGCTTTTCACATTGTTTTAATTGCCTGCATTTGTTAACGAGAATTGGATGCCACCCAAAAATGGCGGATATTCGTCATCGTGAGAAAGGCTAATTGATCCTTACAGATCGGTCGTACTGTTCAATCTGATCTATCACGCAAGCCCCCTTTGCATGTGACGTAACAAATACATGCCCAGAGGCTTGAGTGACGTTTCAAACTAACATTCCGGCCCCTTAAAGGCGTACAGTATACTAGTGCCTTTATAAATTAATAACAAACTGTTTGAAACAAAACTCATGCATAACATAATATAGCGTCATATTAATGCGTAAATGTTATCTTATACTCATCTTGTCTTCGTTGTTCACTTCGAACATGTCCTTCATTTCCTTCACGATGAACTTCGATCACACGAGCCAACGGCCACGAACTACGCGGTGTATTCTCTTGAAGTAGAAGCCGACGTCGCCGACTTCTACGTTCATTCTCGGTTGATTACACTTTTGTCGTTCTTCCAATATCGGAAGATACTCCTTCAGCCATCTCCGCCAGAACACGTCTGCCATATACTGTACTTGTCGCCATCTGCGCCGCGTGTACAAATCTTCCTTCACGGGTAGAAGTGGGGAACCTGCACGTGATAGCAGCAGGTGGTTTGGGGTTTCAGAGTCTGTTCATGAATCAGCGCTCTCATCACCTTCCGATCCTCACCGTACGGATGCATCGCTCCCAAACGCCGCCGTGATGAGATGCAGTGGGTGGGTTAAAAATCCACTTGATATTCTTCAGTAATAGAACTTGATGTATCTTATGTTGGTTCCATTCTTGGTCTTTTGCACGATGTTGAGGATGAACCTTTCAGCGTTCTCCACTTCGTCAAGCTTTAACGGTGCCGGCTTTTCTTTTGACATATTGATCGTTTCGCCGCTCTTTCGCTTTCGTACGGTTTCCCGAAGTTGTTTCACGTAGCGGATTGCCCATGCAATTGATTTCCTGAGCTGTTGCCAGGAAGAGAATTTATCGAATCGGGAACACATATCCACATATCGTTGGCAGGTTCATCGATCATCATCAGATGAGACGCTGGTATAGATGTCGTTAAAGTTGTTGTGGCGTTTCTTCTTACTTCTGGATCGCATTCAGGAATATCAGACTTCATTTCTTCTTGGTTTAATTTGGCCAGTGCTCGCGAGACTTCCAGAAGAAGTCCGGTCCTTTCAACCAACGTTCTTCCTCCAATAATTCCCTTGCTGTTAATTCTCGAGAAGCGTCATCTGCCGGATTTGAACTGGTATTTACATATTTCCATTGAGACAATTCAGTCGCATCTTGAATCTTTGACACTCTATTGGCTACGAAGGTTTGGAATCTTGTGCTCTCGTTGCCAATGTATTTCAAAACGCAGGTGCTGTCCGTCCAGAATACAGATTCATCAACTTTCATGTCGAGCTCTCCTTTCATCATCTTATTGAGCCTTGCAGCAACTACGGCCGCAGACAGTTCCAATCTGGGGATCGTTATAGCTTTCAACGGTGCTAATCGAGACTTGCCAATCAAGAAACAACAATGGATGTCTCCTCGTTGGTTGAATATTCTTTCTGGGAAGCATCAGAGAATCAATGTATGCAGCTCGCATGAAGTGATCTCACCGAAATCAGCAGGTTTGAAACAACGGTCGATAACGATTCTTTCGAGTTTGGATAGCATGCTTAGCCAATATATTCTGCCATCGATGGAGTGCATCTTCAGAAATTTGCTCGTCCCATCCTAACTTGCTCCGACAAAGGTCTTGTAATATGGTTTTAGACAAAAGGACAAATGGTGAAACAAATCCGAGGGGATCGTAGATCCAACTCACCACGGAGTGAATGCCTCGTCTGGTTGCTGGTGGATCCTTGATGGTTATCTTGTAGCCAAACTTATCAGAGATGATATCCCAAAGTACACCAAGTGCTCGTTCTACGTGAACTTTGCTAAAATCCAGGTCTTTCACCGTAGCTGCTCGTTCAATTTCTGGTAAGGATTCTAACACCTCTCGCGAGTTTGAAGTCCACTTCATTAAACGAAAGCCACCTTTCTGCAGAAGTTCGTAGAGATTGCTTGCGAGATTGATACACGTTTCTTAATTCATCTTCAACCGATTTCAGGCAATCGTCAACGTAGAAGTTTCTTTCTAGAGTGTTTATTGTCTCCGCGTCGAAATTCTGTCGATTATCTTCAGCAGTTCTTTTCAGTGCAAAATTGTTGCAGCTTGGAGATGAGATACCGCCAAAAAGATGAACTGTCATCTGGAATTCTTCTGGATTAATAGATGCGTCACCGTTCGGCCATCACAGGAAACGTAGCACATCGCAATCTTCGAGTGGAGTTCGCACTTGGTGGAACATGGCTTCAATATCGGCCATGAAAGCCACAGGACTTTGTCGGAATCTGGTCAAGACACCCGTCAACGAGTTCGTCAAATCCGTCCCCTGTAAGAGCTCATCATTCAGAGAAGTACCTTCGAATTTTGCAGAACAATCAAACACCACTCTTGTCTTGCCTGACTTCTGTGGGTGAAACACTGGGTGGTGAGGTAGATATCAAACGTTGCCATTTTTGTGAGTGAGTCGTTCTTCTGGTATCTTTCTTGCGTAGCCTTTCTTCACGAGATCGTCAATATAATTGCTGCAATTCTTCAGTAGTTGAGGATCTTTGTCTAACCGTTTCTTTAGGAACTTCAGACGACGTTCTGCCATTGCTCGGTTATTTGGTAATTTGGGGGTGGTCTTCTTCCAGGGTAATGCGACTTCATAATGGCCATCTTTCAACGTAATGGATTCGTTCATTACTTGGAGTGCTCGTTGGTCCTCTCTCGATAGCGTAGTTTTGTCTGTATCTTGCGTTTCAGCGATTTCCATGTTGCAAAATTCTTTGAACTGGTTTTCCAGACCGGGCATCGGTTGCTTGCAAGTAATTGGTGATGCGTTCTGTTGAAGCATTTCTTCCTAATGGACCGTTAACTACCCAACCAAATATTTTTTCGCTGTGTATGGACCACCGTCTTTACTCCTCCGTATTTCAATTGTTTCTAGAACTTCGGGTGCGTCGCATCCGATTAACAGTCCAATTTCTCAACGACATTTTCCTAAATTGCTGGCATTGCGATAACCAATGATTGTTGTCACATTCTGGACATTTGGGTGACGATTTCTTGGGGACATGAGAAGAGGATTTATCTTGGTTATCAATAGCAAAATTATTCCTAAAGTTCCCATCACGTCTTCGATTACGGTTCGGTTCCTTTTGATCATCCTTCGTTTCGTATGATAGATTTCCAAATATAGGATGAGATGAAGCTCGAGCCTTTGCTCCCACGAACACAGCTGTGTCATTGTCGACCACGTCTCTCCAATTATTTCGCATACCATAAGGCAAACGTTCAATTATATTTCTTAAGCTGTCTGGATTATCTAGCTTGCTTGAATACCCAATGGTTCTGAGCATGTTCTTGCAGCTTGTCAAAAGGATGGAAAAGCGTTGAAGAGCTGCAGCATTTTCGGACTTTATCATTGGGCCGGTGGTCACGCGATCAACGTATGATGCAGCGATTTTGTAATCCTGGCCATATCTTCGCTTCAACAGCTGGCGTGCTTCTGCATAACCTTCTTCACCTTTCATCCATAAGCAACTTTTCATCAACTCTTTCACGTCGCCCTGAGTGTACTGAATAAGATAATACAGTCTAGCGCTATTACTATCTGTATTCGCTTCGATAAGATTCTCGAACGCTCGTATGAATGTTTGGTAGTCGATTGGATCACCACTGAAGACGGGAACTTCAGGTTTCGGTAGCATCAAAGCATTAGCGCTTTGTTTTTGGGTTTGTAGAAAACGTTCAAATTGAGCGTTGTCGTCATCTCTTTGCTTTCGCGTGGCTTCGAGGTTTTTATCAGGAACAACGTCCGCGTTTCTCTTTCTGACTTCGGCAGAACAGGTTTGATCTGGTGATGTATCCACTGTTTCACATTCATTTACGTTCGGAGATTCAACAACATTTCGGGATCGCTTTGTATGCGAACATCGTATCTCTTTGCGACGAACCCATTACATACATACATACATACATAAAAATTTGTTTAAACACGTTAGCCCTAACATCTTTCGATGATTCCCATAGGGGACGTGTAAGATTAACACTAATATTAGTTTATTAACTTTATTACGCAATCTCTTATAATTATGCCAATGCGAATCAGATTTCAGTTTTATGGCCTTTTTCTTATGGTAGTCTCTTCTGCTCATAGCTGACCTTATTTCCGCTGTCATCCACGGAGTGGTGTATTTCCCTGATCTTATATGTCTAACAGGAGCATGTTTATCTAGTGTTCCGATAAATAGTTCCTTCCACTTATTCCTATTGGATCGTTTGTTGTGAAAATAGTTTGCCAAGGAATATTGGTTAGGTCGGATATAAATTCTGTTTCAGAAAAGTGTTTAAAATTACGAACTTTTTTAATAGTTGGCCTACGTTTAAGTGGTTTGAATTTGTGAACTGCGTATATTAGGCTGTGATCTGATATATCCACGTGAATGACGCCAGCATGAGATATTTTTTCAGGAACATTTGTCAGAATAAGGTCAATTATAGTAGCAGACGTTCTCGCAACCCTGGTTGGTTCTTCTATTAACTGAGCCATGTTATATAATGTATTTATAGATTGAAATCTGATTGTATGCGCTTCTGGTGGGGATTTAGCAACATCACAGTTTATATCTCCTAATAGAATTAGTTCTTTGTTTTCAGCATTCACGATTAAGAAGAAAAATATCGTATGCATCAAATAGATCCGTACTTGAATTAGGTGGTCTATACCATGTACTAACTAGAAATGACCTGTTGAAAGGTTGATTAATTTCGATACAGATAATTTCCAGTTTATTTGGAACTAAGTCATTTCTAACCAAAATGGAGAGGTGTTCTTGAACATATATTACAACACCACCTCTTTTTATTTCTATTTCTATCTCTTCTAACTATAGTTTATAACCTGGTATACTTACGTAATGAATCAATTTTCGATTCGTTAATAGTAAAGATGTGAAAGGAATACTGTGATAAAATATAACGAATATGTTCAATATTTTTTAATAGACTATTGATATTTATTATTTTCAGACCTTTTAGTTTTCCCATGCATTTGAATTGGTAGCTTACATATTCATCATGCTGTAACTCGGGTGTTGGGGGGCTGATAGAGCTAGAGATGTTAAAAAGTTCCCCAGTTGTAACAGTTGGCTTGTCTGAAAATCCTGACCAATTACCAAACCTACTGTTTCCTTGCTTTGTTCTTGTTTGGGTGGTCGTTTTATTGCCTTCTCGAATAAATTTAATGAAATTGACAGCTAAATAGGCAGACCGTTCAAGGCAGTCCTATCAATACAATGTTCTCATTGTTTATAAAACCATTAAACACGTTTGGGCAATTAGTGTATTTGTTTTCCTTATGTCTTCCCAGTTAAAGCTTTGATGCACGTGTGGGTTCAGCAGAGTGCCGAGACATTCAAATTCTAACAATACGTTATTTCAATAGTTTTCGGGTTTTTTGGGACACCCTGTACAATAATTCGGTAATCCGTATTATAAATGGACCAAAATCGAACTAATGTAAGCTCTTTGCGTAGCAATAGGGTAGACTGATTTCTTAAGGCTAGTTTCCACTCAGGAAAATTATCCGTGGATTGGAACGGACAAGGAAGTTTTTCTTTGTCTTGTGAGCTCTGGGTTGGAACTATATATTAATGACTTTAACACAAAGAAAGCTTTAAAGCTACGGGGGTTTTTACTTGAGTATAGCCCGAGGGTTTCGAACTTCGTCTTTGACGTAGATAGAGAGTAGATGAATAGACGTATAGATTTCTTTAATTCGATGTATCAATAGTGTTCAAAGATAGCAATAATCAATCGACAATCAAACGAGTTCGAACTATAAAGAAAAAATAGTGACTAAACTAAATACCATGCAATATAATAATTTCTTATCATTACTTAGTGGTGGAAAACGTACAATTTTGAATTGATTTTGTTAAACAAGGACTAAGGATGAAGCCTAAACTTATATTCCGTTTATCTATTTGTTATTCTTCGCTGGTTTGTTTGTATAAATTTAGGAAAGGGGACTTTTCCTGGGGTGCCTCCTCCCCCCCCCCCCCAGCTTGTATGTTAAAAAAGGCCATGAACGAATTTATAACTTCAAGTAGAGCAGAAATCAATGAGTTCATAATCTGTTCAACAAGTGTTACTGACGTGTTGCGAATAAGCTATTGAGCTAATTCGTAGATCTTTCTTCAAAATGTTAAAAAAACTCCGTCATTTTGGTCTTGAAGTTGCGTGCTTTTGCGTTGTTTACTATAGAAATTTCTGTAAATGAGCCAGCGACGCGTCTTTAAAGCGTCGTACCACCGTTTTGCCATGCGCAATGTAAAAAAGTACACGCGGATTCGAAAAGCCTGGGCTCTTGCGAACATTTTGATTGGAAAATTTTATATTTTGGCGCAATTCAGACCCCGTCATTTCGCGATTGAAAAGGTTAGACAATGATCTCGACTTCATTGTCTGTTAGGTTTTGGCTGCTGGTTTGGAATCCACTTGGGATTACTCTATTTTATATATTTGCGGTATATTTATTCGACAACTTGGTTTGTTAATGAGCAAATACTTGATGTGCTGCCTGGGCATTGTACAAGGCATTTTTAATTGATCTAGCTATTTTACTTTATTTATATTATTAAGGCTTGGATGTTTATACTTTATATGTACAACGACTTTATTATGTGCAATATAGATAGTTTAACGCCTTCTTATTCATTTTTGGGATGTACAATTTTGTAAAAGCCTTTCTCTGGTCGGCATCGCTTCAAGACAGTCGCCATATGGCGTTCAGTAATATACTTACGCAAGTAAAATGACACCAAGTGGCAACTGCGCTTGCGCAAACTCGTTTGAGCAAATGTCGCTCGCAGTAGCTAGGCTTATGTTTTGGCTAAGCCGTAATTTTAGCCGCTGCTTTGAAGCAAGTGTTGAATTTGCCAGTGTGTGCGGGCACCTCTAGCCTCCTCCGCAGGAAACTGTAGTTCTGCAACGTTATTAAAAGATTTATCAGGAACGTAGAAAATACAAGGAAATAGTTCTGAAATACAATATTATATTAATAAACAAGAAGCGTAAATTAAAAAGGCCTGGAGCGGAAAAATAGGTACTCCATTACTTCCTACATTATCCACAAGCCTCCCTATTTTTCCGCTCCAGGCCTTTTTAATTTACGCTTCTTGTTTATTAATATAATATCGTATTTCAGAACTATTTCCTTGTATTTTCTACGTTCCTGATAAATCTTTTAATAACGTTGCAGAACTACACAGTTGCCTGCGGAGGAGGCTAGGGCACCTCTGTGGTGGTGGTGCGGGCATGTTTTTTGTCGGATTACTAGGTGTTTATATGTAATTAAGATTTCCTTTTTTGCGTCATATAATTACTTGCCGTCTGGCAAGGCCTGGCAACACGTAATATGAAGAAATTCGGTAAATATTCAGTTGTGCATTGCATTACACGCGTTTTGCTAAAACAGAAATTATTTAGCAAAAGCAGTGTTTGAGCGAAAACTGCAAATTTCGAGCATTTTTCGACGCACAACTTTTTTACGCACGACAATGACGTCAAACGCGGAAAAACACCGAATGTGATACCCCCAAGGAATTTAAGAAATCTCTTTTTGATTAATTAATTATAAAACAGATATTGAATGAACAATCGTCCTCATATCATTTTAATCCATAGTTTATTTAGTATCAATTGAAACTATATTCTAGTTTATTGTAGATTTAAAGTGCCTACCGTGAACCTCCGACTATAAGCCCTGGGCTTATATACTTTCGTAAGCGATTTTTGATGGGCTTATACAAGGGGGGGGGGGTGGCTTATATACAGGTGGGCTTATACATGGACGATCTCTTGTGTTAGTAATAAACAAGTCAGACATAAACAAGTCAGTCATAAACAGGGAGTAAACGTGTATTAAGCAGCGATTACTGGGCTTATATTTATTGGGGGACTTATATTCGGGGGGCTTATATTCGGGTGGGCTTATATTCGGGAGGGGGCTTATATTTGGAATGAGGTGAGCGTTAGTACATGTGGTGGGCTTATACACGGGGGAGGGGCTTATATTCGGGGCTTATAGTCGGAGTTATAGAAACGAAACTCCGAAAATAAACATTTTAATATTCAAATGTTTATTTTCGGAGTTACCGTTGTTTTATATTTTATTAAAATACTCAGTGTTTCCCGTAATTTTATAGTCGGAGGTTTACGGTATATCATGGTTTTGGAGTTTGCATATCTCGAAAGTTTAGAGTATTTTAAGACACTTTATTTATTTTAAAAAGTTACCGGACATGACGTCAAAAGGAGAATTTCGTTGCAATGATACAAAGGAAAACTGATTTGCAATTCTCCTTTTGACGTCATGTCCGGTAATTTTAAGAGCTAATAAATCCATCAAGATGAAATTTTTCAATAACAAAATATATTGCAAAGTGTCTTAATTAAAATACCCTAAACTTTCGAGATATGCAAACTCCAAATCCATGCTAATAGGCACTTTAATTTTCATATTTCTTACTATATGTAAATAGCAGTTTTAATAATCATCAGCGTATATATCGTATCACCACCTCAGGGTGAAAAGCATTTCGATTTTCGTACACATAACAATCAAATTTCGAAAAATCGTAAGTATCCACCTTGTTTTCGGACACTTGGGTATTAGAAATTTCCGTCTATTTTCGTAGGCTATCAGGCCAAGGTGCAGGTTACCTAATTTGTTCGCGTATATTGTGACGGATTACTCAAAGTCGTTTGTATAATGGTATTGCCTATTGGCGTGAGATTACTGTACAGTCTTATGATTGTCTGTTTTGACATGGGTGTTAGCCCCCAAGAGTAACGTGTTTTTTTTTAATATTGGCGTGATCAAGGGCAAATGATGGCGTATCTCCGGCGTACTAAAATTTACATGGAATGCATCCTGCCAGGATTCCTGGATGGCCTGTACTATACGACAGACTCTCCAGTCTGAAACATTTGATCATGGCACCACATGCACTTAAACCAGAGTAGAAATTTGTTGCATATTATTGCAGGGCGCGATAAATCAAGATCATAGCCAGAAAGCACGGACATGATTTATTCTATACTTCCTTCGTAATTTGCATATCACGTTGAAATATGGCTTTTGCAGTAAACAGTTTAATACAAATTATATTACGCGATACTGTAAATCCCAAAATCAGAGAATATATGATAGGTCGTTTGCAACTTGCCTAGTCGCTGGCTATAAATCAAAGACATCAAAGTCTGTCGAAGTATTTAGCGTAATGTTGACTTGGTTTTACTAATTTTAGTTAGTGACCATTCTGCATTTTCATTATTTGTACAGAGCTGGTTAGTTTGGAAGGTTAGTTTGTACGGAATTTGTCTATTTAACTCTAGTATATAATAATACCGCACTTGACAAACGAAAATGCAGAATAGGCAGTAACTTACACCAGGCAAACACTACACGATATATTTCAACAGACCATGTTCTGCAACCAGCAATCGAGGCAAATTGCAAACGACTACCAATATTCACTGCAAAAATGGTTAAAATGTTAAAGAAATGAAGACATTTAGAGACAACACAAGTGAGTTATAATATTAAACATGTTGTAGGTTTTACGAGTGATTTGAAAGAGTTTTGGTGCAGTTTTGTGCGTTTAAAATTAGAAATACGATAGGCGAATTTACCTTTGACACTTTGTTAGTTTGCTTTGAGCTTTGTTTTCCCTGACGCTTTATAAAATTTGCTTTTGTTGGCGTTTTTGCCTGTTTACTAATTGAGAAATTTAAAAAAAATTAAGATTCTTTGCAATTCTTTGATAGTTTACTGTAGCTATCCATATTTTTTTGTTTTTATGTGCCAAAAATTGCTTAGGCACTCAAGGGTTCATATCACATTTTTCTTAAAATTGATTGGCTGTTTGAATCCTATGAGTAAATATGATTGGTTGGTTGAAGTCAGCACTCAAATGTGATTGGTTGAAAGAAGGTACGATTTCAGCACGAATCGCACTGCTAAGAGTGCGATTCGTGCTGAAATTGCACTCCTGTGAACCAATCAGATTGCAGGAAACACCATTGATTTCAAAATGAATATAATGGCTGAAATCGTGTTTTCATGGGGGGGGGGGGGAAATGAAATAAAATATATTATATTTAAAGAAAACAGTTACAATCCTTATGACAATCCTCATGTTAATATTTGGGGGGAAATATGAAAACTTAATTTCTGCCAGGCATATTAGTTATTTTATGCATAATTAGCAATTTACCTGGGGGTGGTGCATGGTCATTTTCTTGTAAAATATTATACTTAGACAAATTTTTCCTTCCCATGACTACCTCTAAAAGCAACCCTTCTAAGCACTATAGGCGCTTTAGAATGAGAAAGGCTATCGCTTTTCCTTTTCGGAAGTTAGAGCTATGTCGACACTGCCGTTTCAGGGCGGGGTCATTTTCAGGACTCTTGTCCCGGATTCAGGTTTTGGCACATATACCATGTTGACCGCCATGGTCATTTTACCCTAAAACAGTTGAGGTAATCCGGGTAACACAGGTAATCCTGTGCTAAATGAAATGTATACCAACTCATATACAAGTCCTAGACTATAATAAAACTTAATTAAAGCCCAAATCCAAGCTCGAATCCGAGCTCGGATTCCGACCTCGAATCCGAGCTCGATTCCGAGCTCGAATCCTTGGCTCGGTATATTGCCTTCACAACCGCAAAAATGCGTTATATTTATACCCGATCTAAAAGGCTCAAGATAGTCAGATCATGTTTCACTGTAATCTTATTATGATTGTCAACGCATTGGTTTCCAACCGTGACAAGACGTCATTGCCTATTTTTTATTTTTTTATGCGAGAAAACTGGGAACAACCTAGTTTTAATAACTCTAGGTTGTTTTCAGGCCTATTGCGCACAAAAAACTAGGTTGTTTCTAGGCCCTTGGGCACTAAAAACTAAGTTGTTCTCAACCTTCCCAAACAGCCAAACTCCTCGGCCATGAAATAAACATCTGCATGCCTTACATACTACCTCCTCCGCAGGCCTTTCAATAAAATAAAATTGGTGGGAAACGAACGGAAAGGCCTGCGGACTAATTTTCCAAAATGGCGGGAGCCACAAACGTACCAAATTATATTTAATTAATATATCATTTTACCAGAACAATATTATTATTATTAAAGTCTTTAACTACTTCTGATATAGACCGCTTTTCGTATCCGCAATGTACATAAAAACAGTGAACACTGAACAAACAAGCATATATAATGATTTATAAAGAGAAGCAGATAAATATCAGTTTATAATTTGCATATTACAAATACGCAGCGCTTTTATGTAACACGTCGTATATCAGGCATGCGGCCGTTTATCCAAGAAATTTATTCCGTTTATATTTGTCTTTTATACAGTGTAACTATTTAAATGCGTGTGTATAGGCTATAATCAAAACATCCCATTTGGCCAAATGATAGATTGACAACGTCTATTATCACTGTCGCTTGTGCTTGTAAAACCCTCCATTATTTGAATCTCCTCGTCGCTTTTATCAGCCATAACTGCCAAGATGTATTTAGAAAGTACTCGCAAAACGGGATTGCTAAAGGTTGGCAGACGATGTGCCATATTTTTGAAGAAATTTGATCCAACCGAGTAACCTAAGAGTGATCTAACCCTCTTTTCCGCGTTTTACCCTCTTTTCCGTTTCCGCTTTTCCGGTTCCGCCGGTCCGTTCCGGACCGTTTCCGCGTTTTACCCCTACCCTTCAGCGGGCCTTACAGCTACGCAAGCCTTCGTCTCAAATTTCAAATTTCAACCTGCGAACGGGCATACTCATTAGCTGTGTGGCCTGCATGCGGAGGAGGTACCCTTACATACCTATTTGTCTGGTTGTAATAATTTTATATGCAGAACACTTTTTGTCTTGTGTCTAATATAAGTATGGTTTGATCGTAATTGTTATTGTAAAGTTCTATAGGGGAACATCACTGCCACTGGTGCGATAGAACTTCATAGACGATCAAGGACGTAGCGACCGGGGTGTGTGTGTGTGTGGGGGGTGACACCCCCTCCAACTAAGACGATTTGAAAATTTCAGGTAAATCCATGAAAAACTGGCATTAATAAATCAGGTAAAAAATCTTGAAAACCCATAACGAAAACAGGCAAATAATAGAGGATTGAAATGCGGAAAATAGATGAGGTTGAAATTTGAAATTTATTTGATTTAGCACCACATTACATAAAGATTACAACACAACAAATATACAAAAAAATTAGAAATTTAACATGTTGGTGACAAGGAAGCCCAAAACGAAACCACAAGGCTTATGTAAATTTAGGCTCCCTTTAAATGTACACCATATACATAGAAACACAATTAGGCCTAATAAATTATGAAATGCAGACGTGCTTCAGCTTGTAGACTAATATTTTACATCATAATTATTAATAAATTGAACATAAATACTGTTTTAGTCTTTTTTTTTAAATAAAATAGAGGACACAATGTCAACCAGATCATGAGGAAGAGAATTAAAAAATTTTGGACCTTGAAAGCGCACCGAAAATTGTCTGATATTTGTCCTACATGAAGGTACATGATACTTGGAGGAGTTTCTTGTATTAAAAGTGTGAGTTTGATCATTTTTTAAAAACATGTTGTCAAATCGTTCAGGTAAAAGAGAAGATTTATGATGAAACATGAATTGACCAAGTTGTAGCATACAAATATCATTCAGTTTTAATAAGCCAAGCTTCTTAAATATAGGGCTAGTATGTGCATCGAATGCGCTTTTATTCAGTATTCTAATTACACGTTTCTGCAGTAATTCAATGCGACGAATAGTAGTAGGATACGTTAGTCCCCAAACAATAACACAATATTGTAGGTAAGGATAAATCATCGAATAGTACAATATACGTAGAGACTCTAGTGGCAGACAGAAACTAGCTTTATAAATTACACCAATAGATTTTGATATTTTGTTAGCAATATGGGAAAAATGCGATTTCCAACTCAGATTTTCATCCAGAATAACTCCCAAAAACACAGTTTCCTTGACTTATTATTAATAAATAGTTGTATATCCAGACAGAATTTTTTTTGTTTTTTTTTAATTAATTTTTTTTTTTTAATTAATTTTTTTTTTTTTTTAATTTGCCCATATAAAGCTAAATATATTTACAATCTATATTTTTACAAACATTAGGGGCTAGGAACCTTTATGAAACCCTATCAGGCTTTTATTCAAAGGCCCCTAGTTTAACAATATTAATTATTATATAAAAATAGTTAAAGCTTGTTCAATCTTGTCAAAGACAAAGTAAGAGTATTTACAAATATAGTGATTTGAATATAAATATACACAAGAGTTTATTATGTGAGATTACAAATGAAAGCCGTTAGGTATATTCCAAGAAAAGGCTTTTCAACTTTTTCTTAAAAGTAGAATAAAACATAGTATTGCTAGTTCCTTTATCAAGAGAGTTCCATATTTTAACTCCCTTGTTAACAATAGTATGTTTTGCATAATTAGTTCTACTATAATTGACATGCAATTTGTTAGAATTCCGAGTATTGTAATGATGCACTTCATTGTTTTGTATGAAGTAGCCATTAAAAAATTCAGGTAGATTTTGTAAATGTTTAAAACGGTACATAAATAAACAACTTAAATAGTCATTAATCTTAAAGATATTCAAGATTTTCAATTTTTGAAACAATGGTTCAGTGTGTTCAAGATAAGATTTAAAGTTCATCAATCTGATAATTTTTTTCTGTAAATTCAGTATTTTTAGCAGCCTTGTTGGGTACGTGTTACCCCATATTAAATTCCCATAAGTAAGATATGGATAAACTAATGCATAATAAAATACATTTAATGTATTTTTGTTTGTATAATGTCGTATTTTTGCAATCAACGCCGATGCTTTAATAATATTTTTGACAACTGAGTTTATATGGTTTCCCCATGTTAGTTCTTGATCTATTATTACACCTAGAAATTTGACAGCAGTAGCCTGATGTATAATGTTATTGTTAAGTTGAATATTAATATCAGTGTCACATTTTTTATTTTTTGATTTAAAAATGACGTACTTAGTTTTTTTAGTATTTATTGATAATTTATTGGCGTTTAGCCATTTAGTCACTTCATTCATTTCTTTTTGCATAACATGCATTAAAGATTTGAGGCATTTGTCAGAGTAAAACGCATTTGTGTCATCGGCATACATAACAAAAGAAATTATTTCACTACAGTTCTCAATGTCGTTAATATATAACAGAAAAAGTAGAGGCCCAAGAATCGAGCCTTGCGGAACTCCTGAAGATATTGTCATCTTACTTGACTTATGATCACGAAACTTAAGAATTTGCGTTCTTTCGTGTAAGTAGTTTTCAAACCATTTTAAACAATTTCCTCTTATACCATAATGTTCTAGTTTTTTTAGAAGAATTTTATGGTTAACTGTGTCAAAAGCCTTAGATAGATCAAGGAAAATGCCGATTGTGTATTTTCCTTCATCTATGGCCTTTGAGATTTTGTCAGTCAATTCAATAATAGCATGTTCAGTGGAGCGATTTTTCCTGAAACCATACTGGTGTTTAGATAAAATGTTTTGTTTTTCAATATATGAAATCAGTCTTTTGTACATCGAAAAACATTTTGTCTAGGTTTAAATACCATAAATTTCGTTTTTTCCGTATTAAGCGACAATTTATTTGCTTGAAACCAATCAGACAGTTTTTCCAATTCATTATTCAAAGAATCGATTACATATTGCGGGTCTTTATGTGAAAAAAAAATGTTTGTGTCATCAGCAAATAAAATTGTTTCAACTAATTGTGACACATTGCAAATATCATTAATATAAAGTAAAAAGAATAAAGGGCCAAGGATAGAACCCTGAGGCACCCCACAGCAAACAGCACTAGGAGATGAACGATGTTCATTAAATTGACCAAATTGGGTTCTATTGGTAAAATAACTTTTTATCTATTGCAATGGCAAGCCGCGAATTCCATAATGTTCCAACTTATCAAATAGAATCTCATGATTGACAGTATCAAAGGCTTTAGATAAATCCAGGAAAATCCCCACAGAAGTTTCTTTTCTATCAATCGCGTCTGAAATCTTGTCATATAAATCTATCAAAGCAAGTGAAGTTGAATGATTTTTGCGAAATCCGAATTGATTATCATATAATATCTTAAATTTATCGAGATATGCCAATAAACAATTATACATAGCCCTTTCGAGAAACTTTGAAAAACATGGAAGTATAGATACTGGTCTATAATTTGAGAATATTGCACGATCACCTGCTTTAAATAAGGGAATTACACATGCAATTTTCATATCATCAGGGACAATGCCACTAGCAATGGATAAGTTAAGTATATGAGAAAGTGGTTCTGCAATGATATTAATAAAATGTTTAATTATTGACATAGGAAGAACTGAACAGAACTGAACTTTCAACGAACCAAGTCGAACCAGTCTTTCTGAACTTTCAGACTGAACTTTCAACGAACCAAGTCGGCAGCGCGTCAGATTTACAACTTCAAGGAAGCTGATTTTGAAGGTCTCAATAATACGCTGAGTCGGATAACATTTGATGTTAACACTACCAACGATATCGATAAACTTTGGTCTTGCTGGAAAAAGTCGTTCCTTGACGCAGTAAATAACCACATCCCAACTAAAACAATAAAGGATACCAACTCTCTTCCTTGCGTAGATAAAGAAGTTCGTCATCTCATTCGAAAGAAATACTCAGCATTAAAAAGATACCGCCAAAACAAGTGTGAAACGAGAAAACAAAAGCTAAGAGGCTTAAGTGACGCCGTCAAGTCGCTAATTAAAAAGAAGCATAGGGAATATCTAAGTAGATCGAAACATCATTTGCAACTAATCCAAAACTTTTCTGGACTTACCACAAAGCAATTTTGCATAGCAGATCAAAACAGACTTCTGACATTGTCTTCAACGGTATTACAGCAAAGTCTTCTGCAGGAAAAGCCGAGCTTCTGAATTCTTACTTCTCCTCAGTATTTACAACATCCAGTACTGACATCGGGGATTGTGATGGTGAGGCGTCTGAAACTGAGTCGGGATTGGGTGAATTAACAGTTGATGTGGCTGAAGTGGAAAATTACCTCAGAAATTTAGACATCACCAAAGCGAGTGGCCCTGACAAGATACCAGCACGTCTACTAAAAGAATGTGGTCGGCACATTGCGCCTAGTATCTGTGAATTATTTAACGTATCCTTGCGTGTTGGACGACTTCCGGTAGAGTGGAAATCAGCGAACGTGACACCAGTTCACAAGAAACATCTGAAAGAACCAGCGGAGAACTACCGACCGATATCCCTTTTGCCTATCATTGCAAAACTATTGGAACGTTGCGTATGTAGGCGACTATACGAACACGTAATTAGCGCTATCTCCTTAGGACAACACGGTTTCCTACGCAATCGATCATGCACTACACAACTGCTGCAAGTTTTACATAAGATTGGAGAAAACCTTGACAGTAATATTCAAACAGACATTGTCTACTTGGATTTTGCCAAAGCTTTTGACTCTGTCGATCACGGTTTAATCTTGGCAAAACTCAGGCAATTCGGTGTACATTCGAACATGCTAAATTGGTTCACTAACTACTTAACTGGTCGGACCCAAAGAGTTGTCGTTGATGGTGTTGCTTCAGGTTGGTCCTCAGTAACATCTGGTGTACCACAAGGTAGCATACTTGGTCCAATGTTGTTTGTATTATTCATCAATGATTTACCCGACATCATTCCCGATATATCAGAAACTGCTTTGTACGCTGACGACACAAAAACATTCAGGAAAATTACTTGCGAAGATGATGCTCGCCAATTACAACAAACCCTGACAAACCTAGCCACCTGGAGCAATACCAACAATATGAGGTTCAACGAGTTAAAATGTAAAGTGTTGACTGTGTCGCGAAAGAAACAACCTGTGGACTTCACATACCGACTTGGGCTCAACCACTCTTACTCATGTTGAAAAAGAGAAAGATCTTGGGGTTACAATGACTGGAAAGCTTTCATGGGATTCTCATATCCATGAGATCACAGCTAAAGCCAACAAGCTGCTCGGTCTATTGAAGAGAACATGCCCTTTCCTGACTGACGTCAGCGTCCGACGTACTTTGTACCTTTCGTTGGTAAAATCCAATCTATGTTATGCCTGTGAAGTTTGGTCCCCATACATCTGCTCACAGAAGACAAAGATAGAGCGTGTGCAGAGACGAGCCACTAGATGGATATTGAAAGCTAGAAAGGGTGATTCCAGCTACAATGAGCGTCTCGTTGATCTGAACTTACTACCTTTGTGTTATGATAGAGAGATAAAAGATCTAATGTTCTTCTACAAGGCTCTTTATGGTATTTCCGATCTCAATGTTCATGACTATGTCTCGTTTGTAACCCATAACCACTCCCGTCTATGTCGTAATCCCAACCTGTTGCTCAAGACTCCATTGTGTAAAACCACAACATATCAGAACTCATATTTCAACCGGATCGTGAAATTATGGAACAGTGTTTGTAAAGTAGCTCCACCAAATACATTTTCTAGTGTCAAAACATTTAAATACTACCTCTTTAATTATTATTCTATGTTAGTATCGACCGTATTCGATGTAAACTTGTTATGTACTTGGTCTATGTCACGTGACTGTTCCTGTCATAGGAGTTAATTGTCTTGTTGTATAAACTTGTTATTAGTATTTACATAGTAAACTATATTTACATGTATTCTGTTGGAATGGTGCCTTGCATGGATAGCGCAAATTATTTACGTTCCGTTCGCACCTCTTCCATTTGGGTAATATTCGTTCTTCGCATGCATAGTATTAGTACGTCTTTTGTAAATAATTATTATATTTACCCAATAAAGTATTTAAACAAAATAGGAATTTTATCACAACCAGCAGTTTTATTTGATTGAAACGATTTAGCAATTTCAACAATTTCAGCGGAGGTCACACTATCAAGAAAAACAGACTGAGAAAAGCATCCCGAAAGAAACAAACGATGTGACTGAGAAGGTTTTATTTTCTTAGCAAGATTTGGGCCAATATTAGTGAAATAGTTGCAAAATTATTGGCAATTAAAATTGGATCAGAGATCTCCGTGTTATCATTCTTTTTAAATAATGAACTTATGGTAGACTTTGATTTCTTTTTATTAATAACCTCATTGAGAACCTTCCAAGTAGATTTCATGTCAGATTTCATATTTTGCAATTTGCTAGCATAGTATGATGATTTGGCAATCTTTATTGAATGATTCAGTTTATTCTTGTATCTTTTGTAATGCGAATTGTTTTCAGGTGTAGGGTTACGTAAGTAACGTCTATATAACTTATTTTTTCTTTTTATGGATTTTAAAATTCCTTTTGACAACCATGGTTTACTTGAAAAATGATGTTTTCTTTTTATATGCTTAACTGGAAAACATGTGTTGTGTGTTTTAGTAAATTCAGAATGGAAGGCCTTGTATGACTGATTTGGATCATTAAAACCTTCAAGTTCTGACCAATTAACCCTGGACAATTGTTCACTAAACTTATTTAAATTATACTCGTTTTTTTCTCGAATAGTGATTGTTTTATTTTTTATTTACTGTCTGATTATTTTCAAAGCAAATAAAAAATTTTGTGGTATCCCGTGAAATTCAAGGCAGTCCCGTCGACTATACGAGTTGATGTTTTCTTGTTCTTCTTCAAGCTTAGACACTTTCGCATTAAGCTCATTTACTTCTCTTCTGCTAATATCTGATCGAATTTGTCGCTCATAAACTGTTGACTAGCTTGAATAGCTTTTATGTCATTATGTAGTACTTCCTTTGATTTCACGATAATTGCATTTAATTCCTTCGTATGTTCGTTCAATCGTTTATTTAGGATTTCTTCAAAAGACGACACATCAGGCATTGATAGAGATGAACTATTAACTTCGACGTCGGCCACAGCTTGTGCCACGGCTTGTTTCTTCTTAGGAGGCATAAAGATTCAGATTGTTTTTAGACAAATGCAGAGCTGAAGAATGCACGTCCGCATTGCTTCATATGGCTTCATACGTTGATACGTTCAGAGGTTTCCGTTTTATTAACGTAGCCAGGCTTTATTTTACGAAAAGAATATGTTGTCTATTTTACTATTTCCATCGGCAAAAAAAACACATTATTTTTTCGCTAAGTAACATGCACTTCCGGTTTTGGCTCTACACACAAGGTCAAGGTACGTGCAAGAAATTATATTAATTTCATCTACTTTTTTATAGTAATACAGTGTATTTGAAACACATAGAAGACATAGAATTATTTGTTTGCTTAGATTAATACAACAAGGATATGATATCCGGATGTAAATTTTGAACGTCTGTCCCAGCGGGCAAAATGACGTTTATCCAACGTTGAATCAACGTTGGAAATGACCTTCCAGACGTTGGATAGACGTTGAAAAAGGGTTGACTATGCAAATTGGATCGACGTTACTGTTTCGACGTTGAAACAACGTTGAAATTAGGTTGCCAATCTCGTCAACCATAATTCAACGTTGAATCCACGTTAAAACAACGTTGAGATTGGTTCACAAATCGACGTCGTACATTTAACCATGAATGAACGTTAATTCAACGTCTGTTGGCTGCTGTTGAATCAAGTTTGTAAAACAACGTCAGAGCAACGTAGATATTAGGTTGTCGACGTCGCAACCTTTTTTCTACCAAATTTCAACGTTGAAACAACGTCGAGTGCCCGGTGGGGTACGTGTGATGCACATGTGTGATGTGTATTATGTGCCGTGTATTTTGTCATATTTTTACTTATATAGTATAGTTCGTTAATAATTCTACACAAATGGCCGATAGGCTATATACGCAATATTCGTCTAATATCTAAAGATTTGTCTCGTAGATTTGTAACATTGTTGAATAGTTTAGGTTGAATGAGCCATTACGAGGGCATTGTCCTATAGCCTTACTGTTCTCTATATTATACGCGTATAATCTTTATGCATTATTTATTACACAGTGAACAACGTGAACAACTACGTCTTGAGACTTGATGTTAACCTAAGTATGTGACTTTTTGTGATTTTTGGGCAAACAAAAACGAGGATTAATGGAATTAATGGAGAAACAAATTGGTCTTAAGGACACTTTTAATCCGTTCCTAAAGGTGTTGCATCCAGAAACACCAGGAACAAAGCCCAGCATTACACAGCGAATTGTCCGTTTTCTTTAAAAATGCGCTGAAGGAACACAGACGAATGGAAGAAGAAAGTCAGTCACAAGGTCTTCAGGCAAAACCCATGTCATGTACGATCGCTGCGAACATTGCTCTTAAAGTGGCCAAAAAGCATGGTCTTTTCAAGTTGGCTTCAAAGTTTTATAAACTATTTCTGACAGCCGCCATGACGTTGGCGTTGTGAAAAATGAGAGATCATTCAGTTTACTGAAGATTGTAAAAAGTTATATTCACGCAATAACATATCTGGAAAACGTTTGAATGATTGCATGATCCTTGCCGCTGAAAAGAATATCACTGATGTCTTTGATGTTACTGCGATCGCGAAAAAATGGTCAATCTTGAAAAACCGCCGATTGGCGATTGCTTGAAAACAATAACTTACTATTGAAGGTTAAAAACATTAGTTAACAAATAACTACTATGTAACATTATTGTTCATTGTTTAGGGAAACGCAGTTATAGTTCAGCTAAAAATTATCTTTATTATATAAATTACATCAATTCACAGCACACCTTCGCTACGTCCCTGTAGACGATAGTTTAATTTAATAATTCGGCATGAATTTATTGCACAAACCCTACAACTGCAGACTATGTCAAGTGGTTTGAACTTCTCAAGTTTGGTATACATCTCCTCCGCAGAGCCGTCGGGGGCTTTTTGTATTAAAATGTCTAACAAAAAATAAGCGGTTCACACTCTTTATTGCGCAATAAAATAATTGAAAAATTAGGCAATCAAAACAAATATTAGGCTATAAACCCCAAGCACGAGAGAAATGCCATTTGGAGCCCTGTTTTAGTAAGTCATACTTCAAACACTCATTGGCAAATCATGTCAACCATAATATATTACCGATATACTGGTACGTGATATCGCGGCCACGAACTTGCGCAAGTATACAAACTTAAGCCTGACTCAATGTGTACCTATAGTACTGTAAACATAATAACATATTATATATAGTCTTTAAAATACGTATACAATACATAAAGTGCAGGTTTCTGAAAGGTATTCAAACTAGGAGTTCGAGCAGGGAGCATATATAATTGCATATACAAACACTACAATAGACTATACATATACAACATTCTTTACCACGTCAGTTTAATTCCAACTTCCATCCATCAGTTCAAACGTGTTTCATCCAGGACATGCCGTCGGCCGTTTTCAACTTCAACCGTATCATTTAATAAAGGCCCATACAGACCAGACGCGACGCGAAATCGCGAATTTTCAATTTTCAATGACATTTAACTTTAAATGTCATTGAAATGAACTCTAAATGTCATTGCCTGGTTCCATTAAATCGTAATTATCGCAAGAACCGCATCGCAAGCGTCGCAACGATTTTAAAAACGCGAAAATTTTAATAAAAACTGCGATTTATTGGAAACTTGAGTCACACCGACCACTAAGACTCCTACGACAAAGTCGCAAAGATAGATTTATTGCGATTTTGCGATAGCGATGTCTGCGTTCCGCGACTATTGCGATGATTACGATTTAATGGAAACCAGGCTTTAGTGCGCGAATTATCGCACCCTGACATTTAGTAAAAGGCAAGGAACGAATTGGTTCCTTGGAAAGAACTATCGGTAAAATTTGGTTTGTGAAAGTTCTAATGCTCTTTTTGCAAGGGTGGGTTGACTACAAAATTTTTGTAGTTCGCTATAACTACAGCTACTTCAAAAATATGTAGTCAGCTACAACTACTGCTACTTTTGAACAAAGGTAGTTCGCTACTGACTACAGCTACTGCTTTAAAAATGTAGCGAACTGTTTCGCTATTTCGCTACTCTATATTCTCTAGTTTTACGGTATTTGGAGCATCCACTAGCTCAGGCTGTAATATAACCTATAACAAATCGACTTACGAGTAGCTACAGTAAACAAGAAGGGTCAAAGCAAGCTAAAGCAACATTTTAATTTGTAAGCACTACAGTATTCAGGAGTGCCACTTTTCATTGCGCTAAAATAATCTTTACTGTGTAAAATAATCTTTTAAGCAAACCGTGTCTTAATATCATTCTATTCTATATGAACGGTTGCTATAACAATTTTAAAAAGTAGCGAATAGCGATTTGCTGTTTGAAAAGTAGTCAACTACTTGGCT